ACATACCCCCCCATTAAGCCCTGATTGGGGGGGGGGGGGTTTGGACCCCTGAAACACGTTGGCTACGCTACCTGAATGTCCCCCTGACCCTGATGCACTCTCTTGTATCTGAAGTATTTTAATTGGCGTCGCGCTTTGATTCCTACATCTACTGTTATCGTCTTTTGGGGACGTGAGGAGTGCATGCCAGTGAGTCAGCATTGTCACCCTAGGACAGGAAGTGTGTTACTGGCAGGATCAAAATGTGAAAATAAAGGGGAAAAAAAGCCTGAAACAAGAGAACTAATTCAGCCGCCACACCTGAGGTCTGATAAGCGGCAACATGTGACATCTTAGGTTCTTAGGTTTAGATACACTTTAAGCTCCATGGTTTTTTTCCCATTCCATGTCTGAACCTGAAGGTTTTGCTATAGAACAGCGCAGACCGTCTGATGTATCTCTTTCACTAGACACTTTAAGGAAGCCAAGTGAGACTTGTTATGTATGGCTGCGGCCGAGAAGCCTGCAGGGGTTAATTTGGTGGATTTTTTTTTTTTTGCCACGTCGGCGCTCCGGTGTGGTGCAGTCGTTGGGTTCTTCCATGTGACGGCGGATAATTTATGTGTGGTCGGGTTGCAGTCTGCGCTGCACTGCTGGCATTAAGAACAGCATTGTTTAACAATAAACATCTTAATTAGCAACAATTTGCATTTTTACGGCACCCTTCCATCATTCTGTGCTGCGGATAATTCTCGCCTCCTGTCATGCAATTCCTGCCTGAGTACCGCTGTGACGGGTTATATCATGGCCCTGTACACCATGATAATGTATTACAGTAGAGGCGCCGGTCTGTGCCACGGGCTCTCAAGGAGTGCTACGTGTACCCCAGGGGGTATTTATCAAGGTTCAGGGGGGCACTTTTGCTTCTTACAGTAAATTCGTCATTACAGATTCAAGTTTTAGTGGATTGTTTGAAAGACACAAACACCCAGTTCTGGGGCTGAATTGTATCTAAACCAGAAATGTCATATATTACATACAAGCCTTAGCTGTGCCAGCATTGCTCTACACCGCCCTTCCTCAACCCTTTTACCCCAAAGGAACCCTTAAAATAACTTTCAGTTCTCAGGGAACCCCGGCTAAAATGTATCAGGGGTCAGTGATCAGAATACCCCCCTTACAGACAGCTAGAAACATAACTGGTGTCATTCCAAGTGGCTGTGGTCCAAGAATTATGGAGGCACCCAGGGCTGGTGTAGACTATTCTGCACCCTAGGAAAGAACAGCCCCCCCCAGCCCCACTCCCACAGCGCAACCCCCAATCCCCCCAACCCCCCCCACGCGCGCGGCTCTATTCTCCAGCCGGCTAGCTTCTGCAGGCATGTAAGCAGCTGGGAGCAATAGCCAGACTGGTATTGGCTATTTTTATTTGTCTCCAATAGCAGACTGGCTATTGAAACCCCATCCACTGAGCAGAGGAGCGGACCTGAGAGAGAAAGTTGTCTCTGAGTTCCGCTCCTCTGCTCAGTGGGCGGGTGCAATTGCCAGCCTACTATTGGGTTGTGCAATTTGAAATAAATGGGGGGGATGAGTGGTCGTGGCTGGGCCCTAGATGGCTGCCTAGTTTGCCTAGTGGTAGCACCGGCCCTGGAGGCACCTTCAGATGGGAGGTCAATCAGCCACAGCTCAAGGAACCCCCAACAACCGTTGAAGGAACCCTGGTTGGGAATGCTGCTCTGCACCATTGTCTGCATATAGCAGGCCCAGCATATGGACACCCCAGCCAAACACACTGACAAAACAACAACTTTGAATAATTGGGATTCAGTATTGTTGAAGAATTTGTATTGGCTTCAATGAGCTTTGATGAGGTTGAGCAT